CACTTTGTACCCTCTAGGCCATGGATATGCTTGGTCAACCCAATCAGGATATGGCTTTGTGTAAGTCGGTCTAATGACAGGACGCACCCCAAAGGCCATCTGATCCTGCACGATTTCCATAATCTGATTTCTCAATATGACATTGGGATCATATGGAATTCCTACAGGCTGATTAACCGGTTGATTTGCATGAGGTCTGATGTTTGGTCCTTGATTGGCAACAAAATTACCATAATTAGGGCCATTACCATTAGCCTGGACATCTACCCCCTCGTTACCACGTGGAATATTCTGTCCATTGTTTAGGACATTATCTCTCACATTTGGATTACCCCCCAAGTTAGGCATACCACTACTACTACTTTGATTTGGTATTGTAGCACCTCCTTGGTTTGAAGTAGAGGGGCCAGCAAGTGGTTCTACCCCTTGACTTGGATTTGGGACCGAAGGATTATTTCCTACGATCGTCCTAGTTTGAAAGTGACTTGTGAGAGGTATAGCCGGCAGACATATTTGGCCTACTAACTTATTCATTGTTTCGTTCAATGTCTTTAGTTGTTTGGCCATATTGTCATAGTGTGCATTACCACTTTGTGTAAATCTTTCCATATTATGAATACTTCGAAGATTAACCTGCTCAACGACGTCTTGCGTGAGTTCTCCAAGCAATGCACGCATGGTTCGAGGACTCAGCTCCGTCATTGGTTCGTAACGACTGTTACTGCTCTGATTTTGTCCATCTGTTCGTGGAGAGGCATGTTGCTCCTCATATCGCTCGATTACAGACTGGATTCCTCCCTGACTTGCTCCTTCCTTGTCGGATCTCTGAGGCATGCTGTTTCTCCTTTTGCACTTTCAACACCTAACACCACTGTCCCACTGGGCGTGCCAAATTGTTTCGCGCGGGTTAATTTGCTAACAATTAAAGAGGATCAGACGATTGTGTAAGGGACGAAACCTCTTGAGACAAAGTCCCAAAAAGGGATGTTCTTTTTATTGGCGATGAACTTTACAATTGGAAACGGAAAACAACGTGCCTCCAAGGGGCGCAAGCACACGAGTTACAGAAAAAGAAATGTTTAAGTCTAAAAGCTAAAGGAATGAAAATTATATATTCTCTGTTCGAGAGTTTTGGATTCGGTCCTTTCTTCTAAGTTCTTTCTCTCTTTTATACTTCATAGGCGATCCCTTTGTGATTAACTGCTCTAAAAACTGCTTGATCGCCCTATAACTACCCACTTTCTTTGTAGTGGCCATTTTGTCATGCAACTGTCCTTTTAACTGCTGTCATTATCTTGCATCATTCAACCGCTTTGGATTGAACCCCTTGAGTCGTGGAACGTGGTAAAGTTACTTTAGCAACTGCCTCAATAACTGCATCATAATGCGTTATGTTTGTTGATACCTTAGGCGACTTGAACATTTGGGCGAGACTTTGGACGACCGTATGCCACTCTATTCGTTCAGACTCTGAGCGACTTGCAAACTTGGACGATGGCGTTACCGCACTATTGGGCCCCTTATTTGGGCATTCACCTTGATTCGTTCAATTGGATTTCGTTCTTTGGGGCTATCTGATTTGGGGATCCTCCCATTGGGTTTTATTCTCTGGGCTGTTCGATTTGGGCTGAATTTTTATGTGTCAACACAAATCAAAACAAATTACAGCTGAACCCTAATGCTTAATTACTATTAAAGCCATATTTGTAGTCATCTAATGTGTAATTCATAAATTTGAAAAAGAGAAAAGAAGTACTTTAGTGCTCTGGTAACACCCGGTCTTGGAGCTGCAGGGCACATTCGTCGCTTCAGCAGACGGTTTATCAAAGATGATTTACCAACATTGGGATAGCCAACTATTCCAGCTCGAACCTGCCAAAATTTCAAAAGAACCTCAGATGGGAAACATGTAAATAATACCAATTGCGGACAGGTCACTGTAACCAAAGTCAGGAAGCATAAGAACTTCGATTCTCTTAATTTATCTCTTATAACTTCAAAAAGATAATATCTACTTCAGAATTACTCATTAAAAATGGTGAAAATCACATTTTTCTTTAGATAAAATTCTCATGCTGGCAGGAAACTGATTTCTGATCCACTGACCAGCTCATTTTTTTCCCAAACTGAAACTGACATGGTGTTATATCCAAGTCAGAAAGTAGAAAGATGTGTATATGACAACTTTGGCAAATACATATTCAGGTTTCGGCAATTTGGCAAAAAATATAATGAAAAACTAAACTAGTGTCTGTCAAATAAATAGAACTTCTGATTTATGTCATAACTTCGGTGGATGAGCAACTAAACTGATCTTTCAATATATCACAGAAAAAGTAAAGCACAGCAACAGATTATTGGCAGTTGCAAGAAACTCACAGGACGAGGAAGTAGTCCTTTTGCTCTGCGTTTTTCATTAACACCACCTGCCAATGACTTTGCCAACCTACTTAGCTTCATGGTGCCCTGACGTTTCCAAAAGACTGGTAACCATTAAAATCATCCACAGAGTTGTTCTCTTTCAGCCAATAAATTCAAAAGGCATTTTTAAAATACCATTCCGAGCTGCCCATTTGAGAAGACGATTTTTGTCCCCTGCCTAGCATAATAGCTAGCCCAAGTATTTCGGTCAGCAGTGGATATCATGTCTTCTCGATTCAAAACAATAATTCTTTTTCTATTACCCAGCCATGAATCCATCTGTTTAATGAAAGCATAATAAAAAATTTAGCAAAATATAGATAATACAGCCATTATTCTACAAGGTAAGAAATAAAATCTCAAGAAGGGGTTTGCAAAAGTAACAACATAAATTTTAGGCATGGACCAATTACTTGCAGTGTACACCATAAATAGAACTGTTAATTACTACAAAAGAAACCATCAAACCAAAAACTATGCAGGAGATTTTTGTTATGGTTCTTTATTTGCTTGCTTTACATTATTTTCGGAGAAGGTGTTATATAATTGAAAATACTAAAATTCTTTCCCTTGAGAGAAGAACAAAAATATTAGAGCCATGAATAATATGGTAAGCCTTAAGGTTTGTTCAAGCCCATTTTTTTTGAAAGAATAGATTTTGTAACAGTAATTTTTGGGGGAATGTGTGATTAAAAAATATGAAAATTTTTTGAGTTTATGTGTAAAATTATTTTATTGGAAGAATATGTGATTGAAAAAGAGTTTAAGGGAAAATAAGTGTTTAAAGAATGGGACTCAAACAGAAGCTTAATCTCCTTGGGCTCAAGTGCATGAATTCTTCTTTGCAATTATGTTCAACCCAAATCGACCGGAGGACCAAATGCTAAAATCATTCGCAACTATATCATGAGATGTTACTTTTTGACCACATCTCTCTCTTCAAACATGTTTTACTGCAAAGCATCATTTTTATAAATAAGAGCTTCTTTATGTCTTTGGTAGACATGCTCCAACCAAGCTGTCCTTTCCTTAATTCATTTTGTCCTTTTAATAGCCCAGCACTCAGTATCATAAAGTATAGATGGTCTGATAACCGGCTTCTAGAAGATGTCTTCTGATCCTATACATGTCTTTCAAGTTACATTGAATCACTCTGCACTTCCCTATTTTACCTGCTCTAATTATTTGGATTGCTTCATCTTCAAATCCTCTTTCCTTAGCCCCCATTTGGCCTCCATTTTTTTTGTAATGAAAATGGGTGGAATAGTGTATTTTTGAAAAATCAGTGGTTGAAAACGAAAGAAAAATTTTCGATTTACATGTAATATTATTTTATGGAAGATTGTGTGGTTGAAAATAGAAGAGAGAGAAAAATAGAATGAAATGGAATGTAATTTAATGGGGGCCAAACAGGGGCTTATTAATAATCTACCCTAACTACCTAAAAGTACAACTCTTCAGGACAACATGATCCAGTATAGCAACTCTAATTATATCATCATTCCTACTATAATTGAAAGGGCATTTCACATTTCTATCTTATTTCTAATTAACCTAAAATCTTACAATTCCTGAGTATCCTCCAGTCCTCCAGAGTTCTAACTTATGATATGCAAATTGAGTTTGTCGCGAGTCAAACATGGGGTCTATTGCTTGAGAGGCAACTATCCTAACTGTCTGACAACAAACAGCATCTAAAAATATTAGTCCTGTGAAATTGAGAAAACTGTGTTTACATTTTAATTCGGCAACTCAACAAGCCAAGCATGTTGATTCTTTCATTCTTTCCCATTTTCAGGTTACATGAACCTAAATAAGCATTCTTTCCCATTATCAAGTTACATGAACCTTAATAAGTCTACCAAACCCCACAAAAAAATTTGAAGATAAAAACACAAGTTGCATGAACTGCAATTCTGTAACTTCAACATTTTGTGCTAGTAACGAAAATGAGTATTATGGTAGTGGTCATAGTCTCATAACTACCCAACCTGTATCTACGTTAACACCATTGGTAAAATGTAGCTATTTATCAGTGAATTTATACAAACAGTGAAGAATGAAATAAAAGTATAAGTGGACTATCACAAGTTCACATATTTGATAAACAGGTATGCAATAAAAATTGACTGAACACTTAACAATACATTGGTCACCCATTACCATTATGTTTTTATATTTTTAACTTTTAGTCATTGTTAATGTTATTATTATCACTGCCACCACCCTCATCATCAAATTTTCAGTTACAGTGAACAAATATTTTTCCCTCATTCACCAAACAACTTACAATATAATAACCAATTCAAAAGGAATATTTGGAGATATAAATTGTCCTAGAAAATTTGGTTGACAGTCAATTTCTTAAATTCCCATAAATTAGGTTTGCTGTCAGGACTACACATCATTAATGGTCGACGCTTACAAACAAAGAACTCACCAGCTCAAGAAGAAATATTTTAAGAGTTTTAAGTAATACAAAGGATAAGGGTTCCAATGATCAATTGTCATTTATCCAATTATACTAAGAAAGTACATCAATGATGATCAATGGTGTAAAACTACTAGGCACAAACGCCAGCAGATTTTCACAGATAACTTTATGCTGCTAGGCAAGGAACAAATAATCAATTACTAAGGCATCATCAAGAAGCCATGAATACTGCATGATGGACATATATCTAGACAACCAAGAAGATATAATCGAAGTAAAAGATATTAACCTGTGGATGACTTGTGGACATAGGAATCCTTGCATCTCGAACCTCTATAACAACATCCATCAGTTTTAGCTGATCCTTGAGTTCTTTTTCAGTTTTTGCAATGTGACCTGGATACCACTATCAAATTGCCACCCCCAACAAGAGTACAAAGGCAAATATCAGATATGTTAGAAAAGCTATGCAATCAGTTCGCATTGTAATAGATCAGCAGCCAAATCCAGATCTTATTTCTACCTGAACTGGGCGTAATGTCTTTGTCCAATGATAAAGATCAGCCTCTAAATCTATCCAATCAAATTCTTCAGGGACACTCTCTAAATTACTACTCAGCTTTGAACGCTCACTACCATACAATCCACCACCAACAATCTGCAATGTTCAAGGAAATAACCATGTCCATCATTTCAACCAAATGTAGAAGGATATTACATCGATAAGAAGTGAAAAATCCAGAACAGGAGGTCCTTCATATATTCATAATGACAAACTCAAAAAAGGCTGCTACTTTAGTCATTCATCAGAAAAATGAAAAGTCATACCAAATGTTATCAAGAAGTCCCTAACAAAAAGGAGATATGAAAAGATGATGGCAAGTGATGCTTGATATACACAGACACTAGAACTATTGAAGTAGGAAAATAAACATACAAATATCCATCTCAGAAATGCATAGGCTATAATACTCTAACGTCATTTGGGCCTCATTTCATAGCTTCCAAAACTCAAATACTTCAACAAAACAGAGTTGCCTTCCTCCAAGCTGTTCTAAGTGGGAAACACAACAGTGATTGAATTATTGAAGTATTCTTTTCAGTTACACCATGGATATTCTCTCCATGCAAATCATTTAGTAAGCCTAGTATCACCATCAATTTTATTTTTTAAGGAGTAATAAAGGGTGTTA